GGGGTACGTGAGGGACGCCGCAGGGGCCGCAGGGGCCGGGACACAGGCCTTGAAGGGGCTCAGGGGTAGACGATGGAGGGAAGGAGCGTCAGGAAGGCGTGAGAAGGGGGATTGAGTTTGGGGGAAGCTGCAGAGATGGTGTGGGTTTGGGAGCAGAGTGAGGAGGAAAATATCAAGGAAACAGAGGCACGGTCTCAGGAGAGGGGAGAGGGGACAGGGGAGATGAAAACATAGGAGTGGAGAGAGAGACCAGGGAGACGGGGAGGGAATTGGTGAGGGGCTCAGGAGAGAAGGTAGAACAGAGGAGGATGGAGGGAGGGAAGGGGCCAGATGGAGAAAGAGGGTGGCAGGGGGGGGTCCAGATGGAGGGAAGAGAGGAGAGAGAAAGGGTTGGGGGAGGGGATGCCAAAGAGGGGGGAGGCCAAGTGTTTTTTTGGTTGGGTTGGGAGAAAGGCAAGTGAGACTGAGTGGTGGCAAGTCAGGCTAGGTTAAAATCCCGCCAGTGACTGGGCCTCTTTAGGTCTCTTGTTAGTGAAATGCAACCCCCGGGTCTCATCTGCTCCTTCACTTCATCTCTTTGACCCCTTCCCCCACCCCACCTCTTATTTCCATTCCCCCTCCCTTCCTCTGCTGTCCATCACTTATATCTGTCCCCCCATATGGTGTCCGTTTCTTATATGAGTCCCCCTTGTGTCCTTCCCCTCCCTGTATTAGTCCCCTGTCTCAAGTCTACTCTCCCCCCTCTCTTCTAATGACTCCCTTATCACACCACTACTGCTCCTGGACCCCGCGCTGCTGCCCCTGTTAGGTCTTCCTAGTTCCCCCTGCCCCATGCTGCTGACTTGAAACCTTCTGGAGCTTCCCTTGCCCTTAGGCATTTACCATCACCACCTTTGCTTCCCTTTCTTTTAGATCTTCTCTGTCTCAGCTCCTGTTTCTTGCCCCACATCCCATCTTGGCACCGTGCTGTGTGCCTACTTGTTTCCCTTTTATTGCCCAGCCTTCATTCATCACCTTTCCTCTTTTCTGGTCCCCTCTGCTTCCTGGGGTGATGGAGATTTTTGGGGGGTGGGGAGGGTACCAAAACACAGGCATTGATGGTTGGATCAGGGACTCTAAGGAATCCCTGTATTAAACCTTTGTGCAACTTCTCATTCCAGTAAAAATTTCCCATTTCCCCTTTCTCTGCCATGTTCCTTTGCCTCCCAGGATTGCTATCTTTCTTAAGTCTAGACTCGTGTGTGTGTGTGTGTGTGTGTGTGTGTGTGTGTGTGTGTGTGTGTGTGGTTGTTCCTAAGCTGAGGTCCCCTGTGTCCCTTTCCTGTCCCCTGAGGTCTAGCTTGCTTGCCCCAGCTGCAGTCTGGAGTTGCTCCTCTGTTGGGTTATGGTTCTATGTATCAAGAGATTTTTCCTCTGGGTGCACCAGTGTTGAGGTGCTGTAGGCTTGTTGCCTTCAGTGTCCATGGTCTAAGTTATGGGTGACTGTTGTAGTGCTGGGGCTTTGAATTCTAGTGTTTTCTGCCACTGAGCTATAATCCCAGCCCTGCCAGTGATCTTTGTATCTAGAGAATATTGGTAGAGTCTCCAAGAAAACACCCAGACAGTGAAATTTTGGAAGAATTGTGACTTTTAGACACTTACATTGCAGGGGTCCATCTTTCTCTGTGACCTGCAGGTTGGGTAAATTTACGGAGTTACCATAACCAGCAAGGGATGGAGTTTTCCGGAGGTCACTGACGGCACTGGAGCAAAGTGCAAAGGCCATTTCTCCTGAAATGTGCCAAATTAATGATCCCACTAAGGTGACAGCATTGGGTTGTTCTTCCTGTGAACATTCTCTAACTAATATCTTAAACCTAGTTTTATCACTGATGTCACCAATCTAATGTTCCTGACCCCCTTAAGGCCCTTCACTGTGTCCCCAAGAATGGTATGTGGCAATGGTGCTAATAAGACAGCAGAGATGGGGGGCAGCAGGAAAACCCCCGGGCTCCTGAGCATGCACAGCTGTTGGTCCCCCTCCTTTTTTTTTTTTTTTTTTTTTTCTGGAAATTTGTCTGTCTTCACATCTCATGTTGGGATGCTCCTCTGTCATGAGGAATCCCTTTCCTTGCTCTTTCTTAAGTCCCTCACTGTGCCCAGTGAGGTCTCAGCCTATGGGGTTGGCTTTCCTCCTCACCATGAAGGTTAGGCAGTGCAGGGTTGACTGCAGGGAGTGTTATGAACAAAGAGGCCGATCTGGTCTCTGGTTATCCTGACAGTTTATTTCCTATCTTCTCCCACCTGAATCTGGCTAGGAAAAGCTGTCTTCTCCCTGGAAACTTCCCTGCAGGCAGGAAAGAAGGGGAGAGGGAGGGAGAGAGGGAGGGAGGCTATCAAGCTTCCTTGAACTCATATCCCTCCCCTGTCTTCAGGTGTTTAGCTCTCACTCTCATGACCCAAATGTTGTTCAACACCCATCTTCTTTCCCACAAGCTGGTACCTAGTATTCTTGTAAACGAGTGGGGCCACATCCATCGCACTCGGATCATGAATGCCTCCCTCTGGCCTCTCGGTATCATTTGTTAGTTTCAGTAAGTTTCTCCCCCCAGTGCCCCCACACAAGTGAGTGAGCAGCGTTTTCACCCCCACTGCCCCCAGTAAAGTCCCTCTCTGTCACGAGACTAATGCTCACCCGAAGCCACCCTCATCCATTTCCTGGAGCCTCCCATGATGGACTCAACGCAAAGGCTCATCTCCTGATCCTTTAAAAATCGCCAGGCACTTGATGCCCAACAGACTTGTCTCTTCAGGCAGGTGGCAGGCACTCCTTTCTCCCACTTGCAGACTCTTCTCTCCACTTTAGGTTTCTACACCCCAAGTATAGACCCTCCCTTATTGTTTGTGTGTCTCTGTCCCCCAGATGTACGGGGACCCCCTATGCACCGAACCCAATACGTTCATTCCCCATATGACCGTCCTGGTTGGAACCCTCGGTTCTGCATCATCTCGGGGAACCAGCTGCTCATGCTGGATGAGGATGAGGTGAGCTGGGCGAGGAGGTTGGGAAAAGTGGGAAAGGGTAGAGAGGACGAGGGACATGGGGAGAGCCCTCTTCAGTGAAAGGGAGAGCGTCCCAAGAGGAGGGTGGCCACTGAGATGTGGTCCGGGTGTTATGAAGAGTGCAGCCATTCTCTGGATTTTGCTAGCAGGTCTTGGAGGCCCTTGGCAGTGTTGTGGAGGAGCTATGGTTCTGAGCTATGGTTCTGGGTATCGCCCCATCCATACTGTGGGAGAGGCTAGAGTGGGGGGGGGAAAATGAAGAGCTCGGGAAAGAGTGAGCCCCTGCTTCCCCCTCCCCTGCCACTCCTAGTTAGTTCATCATGCCACAGGCACAGTGCAGACCAAGACTGAGTGGCCCTGAGAAAAGGCAGGGGAAGTGGGAGGGGCTGGAGGGACAGACAGAGATAACAGGTCACCAGATGTTGGTGTGAATGGGAGCAAAGATGGTGTGTGTGTGTGTGTGTGTGTGTGTGTGTGTGTGTGTGTGCTTGAGATCAGGGTTACATATGCTTCTTTAGGGCTGGTTAGCTTTCCAAAGGGGAGATGCAAAGAGGAGAGGCCTGAGGAGACGGGCGGCTGGAGTATGGGGAGTGTGTCTGGAACAGGACTTGGGTAGGGCCAGGAGCGAGGGGTGAAGTGGTCGGAGCGGCGGCCGGCCATGGAGGCTCTGAGTCAGAGAGAAGTATGGGATCCAAAGCAGGAACCGTGTCCGTGGTGGACAGTTCATCAGAGAAGAAGGGTCCCGATTTGAAGGGTGGGCCCTCAGATGTTGGACTTGGGCTAAGGGTGTAGAGGGGCCTTGAGGGCAGGGGAGACTGTGCAGAGAGGAGGTGCCAGGAAAGTGCTTGAATCTGGCCGCAGGTGAGGTGGCCTGGCAATCTAAGTTTGGGGCACTGGATGGCATGTGAGTGATTTGGCGTTGGTCATCAGCCTCCACCAAGGGTTTGAAGTCCATTGGATGGGCTGGGAAAAGGAGAAGCAGCGCAGGCATGGAGACAGAGGCCCACTAGCCAACCGAGGCCGCAGGAATAGCCTGTCGGGAAGGAAGGTGGGAGTGGGAAGGCAGAGATGGGGCTGGCATAATGAAGGCCCTGGGGAGCTGGAACTGGGTGGATGGTGGGGTTGGGGCCTCGTGGGAGTCTAGCGTCTGGTAGGGTGGAAGTTAGGATGACGACTCCCAGGAGGAGTTGAGGTGAGGCCCAGGGAAAGGTAGGGCTGAGGGAAGAGGGACTCAGATGCAGGTGGAGTTTAAGGAGATAGGGGGGTGACCAGGCCCTCTTGGGGGAGGGGAGGTTGGGTCCCAGTCTGGCCGCAAGCCGGGCTGTGGGAGGGAGACAAGCTGTGGAACTGATTATAAATGCAGCTGTGACAGGCTTGAGGGAGAGAAGGGGGTGAGGAAGGTAGGAGTTGGGAGGGAGGCGGGGCGAATGGACAAACTGAAGGTCAAGGGGAAACCAGAATCAGGAGGTAGCTAGTCCCGTGGAGCTGCGGGAAGCGCTGAGTGGGGTCTGGGAGAATTCTCGTGACTGTGTTTCACGAGGGAGAACAGGGAACCAGAAGTCCCCGTACCAAGGCCAAGTGAGGTGGGATGGGGCGGAAGGGGCAGGCGGGCTGGCAAGGGGCCGGCCTTCCATGGACGGGGAGAGGAGGGGCGGCGCAGGCCCTTGGGGTCTGACACACTCCCCAATCCCCTAGATACACCCCCTTCTGATCCGGGACCGGAGGAGCGAGTCCAGCCGCAACAAACTGCTGAGACGCACGGTCTCCGTGCCGGTGGAGGGGCGGCCCCACGGCGAGCATGGTACGGCGGCCGAGCAGGCTCGTGCCCCGGACAGTCGCTGGGAGCGGGCGGGGGCGGAGAGCTGCCGTGATCCCGATCCCGAGGACAGGGCGCCCTCGTCCGGGCTGCGCGGGGTACCGGGGCTGTTGGTGAGCGGCCCCCGCGTGTCCCTGCGCTGCTTCGCTCCCCATTTCCTCTCCAGCAGCGAAGTTTGAGTGCTTCCCGGTGCCTGTAAAAATAGTCTGCTTAGATCTTTAGTCCCCGTCTGTGTTCCTGGCCACGGTCCTTGCATCCTCGAGGGGTCTGAGAACTTGGAGAGTGACCTAGTCCCCGCCCGCCACCAGACCTGTGCCCCTCCGCCAACTCCGTCTTCTTGCAGACCTTCCGGCCTCAGGCCTCCCCTCTTGTCGCCCCTCTCCCCAGCCGAGTCTGGTCCTGCTCTCTGGTTTATTGCCCACTCCCCTCTTGATGCCCGCGTCCCTCCCCTCCGCTCTGGGTGGAACTCTGTCGGACCCCCATCTCCTCACGGCCTCTCCCTCTCTCCATCTGTCTCTTCCCCTTCCTCCTCCCTCCTGCCCCCACCCCCCTCTTTAGTCATTTAAAAAAAGATTTTTGTCTTCCTCTGAGAAGTTCGCTTAAAAGGTTTCCATGGGAACAGTGAGGGGCGATGAAGGCAGGGAACAGGGATCTGCAGCCAAGGTGCCGAGAGACAGAGACGCCCTCGGTGTCCGGAAGCCCCCTTGCCACGGTCCCGGTCCTCAGCACGTCCCTTCCATGACCCCACCCGACCACAGGCGACCCCGTTATCCCCCCCCCCGTCTCTCCCTCCCCTGGGCCCGGGCTTCTAGTTGCTGCCTTAGAGAGCCGGTGACCAGTGTTACCCTCGGGCTGCAGCCCGCCCGCTGCCTTCCATAGGTCCAGGCCTTACTGCCCCTGGGGCCAGCTTGGGCACCCCGGACCGGTGGTCAGGGATGTGTGTCCTTGTCCTGGAGACTGACACGGGGGTGTAGGCAGCGCCCTGAGGCAAGCCAGGAGAGTGTATAGAGCATGGGTGATGTCTGTGTGCTGTGCATAGTTTTGTGTGTGTGTGTGCAGTGTGTAACCTGTGTGCACTGCAATGGTGACATGCCCACAGCGTGTTTGTCGTGTGTGCTGCCCACACATTGTGTCTCTTAGGCCGGGTCCTCAGGGTGCTAGGGCCTTTGGTGTGCACTCCTGTGATTTGGGTGGAGTTAAGGTGGCTCGGGACTGGTTCGGGTGCATACAGATATTTACATTCGGGGCGCAGGGCTTGGTACAGGTTAATAGCTGGCGGGAGTCTGGGGTCTAAAGAGGGCACGGAGGGTGCGCAGGGGACATAAAGATGTTGCAAAGGTGCTGCTGAGGCTGTGGACGCTCCAGCCCGGGAGAGGTCGCCGGACCTTGGAGGCTTTGGAATCCGGGGCTCCTCCTCTGCTGGGTGGAGCTGCAAACCTCGCTCTCTTCCAGGGCTTGGCGCTCTCTTTCGGGGGTGGGGGTCCTGTTCAGGAGGCGATGATGGGAGGCCTACTTGGTTTTGGGGGTCCCTCTGTCCCCCTCCCCCGTCTCCCTCGCGCTGTCTCCGGGCGACGGGGCTCGTGACAGAGGCGGACACGGCAG